AGCGTGCTTTAAACTGCCTCTGCTTGTAGTAATGAGCCAGAGGCTAACGGTTAAAGCGAATGGCGCGGATGGTCAGGTGAGGTAAGCTGACCTACTTTCAGGGACCTCAGTACCACCACGCCGTAGGCACCAGGTAGTGGTCGGCCCACTGTGTTTTCCTTAGCTTATCGCGAGGCTGTTCTGCTTTTCAGCACTTTTTCTGCGCTCTGGCCATGAGATCACACAAATTATTATTTATTTATTGTTTTTATAATGGGAACTTCCAAGAAGTGCCAAGGACTTTGCACAGATCTGGCTCTGCTCGTAGTCTCATCAGCCCCGTTCCTACTCCTGCTCCATTTCCCTTCACTTCTGCAGGCAGAAGGCAGCCGGGTTTGAGCTGCTGCTGCTGCTGCTATCAATACTGTTACATTAAACCAGTTCTCTTTAGAGTTAAGACGAGGAAAAGAAAAGGCTGGGAATCTCCCTATTTAGCCTTTGGCTCTGGAGGAGATGGAAAAATCCTTGTGGGGGAGCTTCCCCGTGCAGTGTCCTGAGGATCTGCTGGGATGCAAGCGGAGGGGCAGGGAGCCGGCCCCGCCACAGCCCCGGGGCCATGTCGGATGGCCCCATTTAGTGCCCAGACTAACCTTTGATCACTGCTGGCTCCTAGGCAGCCCTGCGAGGCTTAGGGAAACGTTTTGCTTATCTTGCTTCCCGTGTCCTGAGACAAAGCCGGCGGAGGCTGGATGCTGGGCACCCCCCCAGCGCCCCGGGTCGGACCCGTACCCGGGGGAGAGGCGTGCTCTGCGGGAGAGGATGCTCCCCAGCGCTGAGTGTGGGAAGGCAGGACAATAAAGATCCTGCTGAAGTTTCACAGGCGCTTTTGTATCCGCCCATGCGTACCCACACTTCCTTCCCGGCACCCTTCCCACCGGTGCGGTTGCGCCTGGCATGCGTTTCCCTTCACACATCTGGGAGCCAGGGGGCCTCTTGCTGTTGGCGAGGGGGAGTCCCGCGCGATGGTGCCTCCTCCTCGTAATGCAAGAGGGAGAGACCCTGGTGTGCTGCGAGGGCTGGTGTGGCACTTCTCGCTTCCCCTGGGACAGAGCAGTACACACTTTATGTATGCATGTTTTCCTGCT